CAACAAACGCCACTTTATGAGCAACACATACAAAGCCTGTCTACACAGTCTGCTCCTTATGTTTGTGAAAGACAACAGCTGCCGAGAAAAGACTACATATGTGAATGTAGTTCACCAGAAAAGAACACAAAACCCATGTAGTAAGCGGATGTAGTGACTGTATTTATTGAGCATCGTCATATCATGCCACTCCTAAAATATACAGCATGTAGGCGTGGAAGTACACAAGGGTTCCCAGATGTCAACAGCTCGAACTGTGAAAATCACTCAGGGAGATCGCAGACTCCTCAACTGCCACCAAGAAGCTGTGATGCTGTGAAAACTGATGAGCTCTGAGTCGATCCGGCCGATGAAAGAATTTGCCGCAGATGTCGCAACACAGGATCCTCGATCCCTCGCACTTCCATTTATGGCGAGTCAGGCTCTGCTGCATGTTGAAAACTCTGTCGCAATGCTCGCACTGGTAGTGGCCTCTTTTTCTGGGTCGAGGTCTCTTTCCTAGAAAGCAAGGAACGGGTCTTCATTGACATTTGACCTCATAGATTAAAAAAAGAGCAGGCACTGATTCCATCAGTGGCATACGGGTGATCTCAATCCACTGGTGTTTACTTTTTAGAGACCACAGAAAACATATCCCCAAACAAGAAATTTTAAATAGAAGAGGAAAGCAACGCTGGGCTGGTCAGCGGACTTCATCAGGGCAATCAAGAATATTCCGAGCACCTAAACATTTCTTTTAATGCAAATTTTATGTGATAATCATATTTATCAACTAATGTGAATTAGACCACGTTTATGAGTTAAGCAACCCGCGGATATCAGCCCGTCTTCCCTCCAAAATGCTCTAATCTTATTTTTACCAGATCATATACACAATGTGCGGCATATATGCGTGCATCTAACATTGTCTTTAAATATATTCTAATGTGTGGACACGCGCAAATAGAAATGCTTTAACATTTTAAGCAAACATGAGGCAGAAGATTGTGGATACACATGAATATGAACGCCACAAGCAAGAAGAAACACTACAACAGGGCCCTGCATACCGGACAACGACCACCCCGCCCCTCTCCCCCATAACTAACTTTGCTAGCTGTAAAGAACAGTGTAGAAGCTACTATCGCAGAGGTTCTGATTGGCGGGTCAAATTTAAAATTATCAGCCTGGTCCGGGCCACACAGAAAGGGAGAAAAAAACGTTATACACTTAATAACCCAGATTTCCTAGTAACGGGATGTTTTTATGGGATAATCTAAGATTACAATACATTGCTAATACTTTGATCAGACATACTCACTCAATTAAGCACTATATATATATACCTAAATGTGTCAGTTCAAGTTGGTTATTTGCAGAAATCATTCTACTGAGGGAAAGAGAAAGAGAGAGAGAGAGTGTGTGTGTGCTTTTCCGGACGGAGAGAAATTACAAATTAATTTTACACAGGCCTCGCGGGTGCATTTAAAATTTCATTCTTGTGGCCTACTGGTCATAGTTTGCCCATTCACTTACTACCCCATATATGTGCCTATAGTCAACAACTGCGGGCCATTCAAAGCAGACCATCAGTGCAACACATACGTGTCCTTATCCGATCCATGCAATATAAGAAGAACACTCGCACAAACAACTTTTAATTCCCTCGCTTTGTTTTTAATAAAGAACAAGAGCGAATTATGAATTATCAACATTATGCAAGATGCAACACAATTAAACATATAATTTTATAATGTACAAATGATACGTATATGATCTTTTTCTATCAACCTTTCCTAATCCTTTTCCCCTTTATAGACTGTCAAACCCTTTAAAAAACAAGTTTCCTTACATCTAATTTACTACAGCATCTTACGCCTGTCTCATTTCTTCTCTACCATGTTATGCCTTTTAGCGTAAGGTTCTGAAGAGACTAGTAGGATCAGCAACCGTTTCATGAAATGTACAATCAATAGAATTTGTCTATGATGACAGTAAACCATTGTAAAGACCTCTTCTCCCCAGGCTTAGCAACTGCGAACAAAACTGTATTTTTTAATAGACAAACTGGGCACGCAGGCGTATCTTACATTCAGTCCTCACTCATCCTTCACTCCGATAAAAAGAGGAAGATTTAAATGCAGAAGCCTTTATGCCTAACGTTTGCAAGATTATCTATAAATAGCCAGGTTTCTAACGTGCAATAAAAAAGCGCCCATTTAAGTCGGTGTGTGCGACAGTAGTGGTACTGCAAATGGAATCGCTTCTAACAATCGAACCGTGCTGCTATGTTGTCGGGGAAACTATCAAAACCTTAAGAATGAGTAAACAGATCCAAGCAGTCTCAATGCTATTTCCTTAAACTTATACACCCTAGGATCTGGTAACTACAAAGCATACCCCTGCGGGGCACCCCCTCCCCCCTTTTTTTCTCTCTTTTTTTTTCAGTATGAGAATACTTTGCCTGGAACAAGTCTATGAACAAGTCCATAATTAAGTACGTTTGCCTCTTCCGCTAGAACCTGTACATATGTGGTCATAGAGCTTAGGCTTGTATTTGAACGAACGCCCGCACAATTTGCAAGTCAGCAGCTCTCCCAGTCCATGCTTTCCTCTGAGATGCTCTTTCAGTGCGCAGGTCTGACTGTAAACCCGTTTACAAATATGACACATGAGACGGTTGGTGCCATTACACTTCACTTCGTGCGATGCACACAAAGCAGGGTTTGTGTAGATACCGCCGCATTTAAAGCACGTAGTGAACACGGGCCCGCCAATGGACAGTGCCGACTTCCTGCCGGTTGTAGATCTCCAGGAATGTGCTATGTCATTTGCCACAATCAGGTCCGATGAATACGATACGCTAGTTGCAATGTTGTATCGATTGCTGCTTAAAGAATCTACGAAAGCCTCATCAGTGTCTTGTCGAGATGCCTGAGCCGTGCCCCGGCTGCCGTTGACATTGAAACTTCCAAGCCCTGGGGAGTCAGAAGAATGTCTTAGGAAGCGATTGGATCTCAAGAAACATGCACAAGCAAACCAAAGGTTGGGGCTGTTGTGGGCATTGGTCTAGCAGAGGTAACGTAAACAGAATCCACGAATAACGTAACAAAACTCGAAGAGGGATAAAATGAGGGATAATTGTTCAAGCTCAATGATATATAATTATATCTATCAATGTCCAATACTCTCACAGGCCAGGTAAGAACTGTCCGCAGACTACCACTGACAGCTGCAATGTCGTACAACTTTACTAAATATAGAGGTCTGGTCTCTAAATAGTCAGCTTCCGCTTTGCAAAAACAATGTCTCCATTTGAACGCCTTTGTGCACAGAACAGCCTGTGCTGTTTTTGCAACAACAGTCATATTAACTGTATTAATTGTGTTTGTCGTACTGGCACTTTCTTTTCACGCTTTTGAAAAAAAAAGACGGGAAAAAATATCTGCTGTTCATATAAAGTCAAAAACTTAAAAAAAAAAATGAAGATTTGTTGTTCTACTCTTATTTTGTGTGTGTGTGTGCGCGGGCGCGCATCATTATATACGATCCTCCTTTTAGACATATCAAAAAAACTCTAGGTGTGTTGTGTAAGTGTGTAAACGTATGCACGCGCGTCTGTGTTCTGTTACAGACACACATACAGCCTAAAAGTAGAAAGTCTTACTTCCGAACACACACTTTTCAACCCTAAATCACAAGCCACCGAGTTTAGCATGTGCGAATGACGCCCTGGTGAGCAGCTGCACGTCTGCGTGATAATGTTAATACTTCATCGGCGGCTTACTTGAATGTGTGTGTGTGCATACATGAATACATGCGTTCCCCCTGAGCGTGCACGCACACACACACATACATACACACATGCATATTCCCACGTGGGCGTGCAGACATGTATTATGTGTCTATATGTGTGTGGGTGTGTGTGTGTGTGCATACATGAATACATGCGTTCCCCCTGAGCGTGCACGCACACACACACATACATACACACATGCATATTCCCACGTGGGCGTGCAGACATGTATTATGTGTCTATATGTGTGTGGGTGTGTGTGTGTGTGCATACATGAATACATGCGTTCCCCCTGAGCGTGCACGCACACATACATACACACATGCATATTCCCACGTGGGCGTGCAGACATGTATTATGTGTCTATATGTGTGTGGGTGTGTGTGTGTGTGCATACATGAATACATGCGTTCCCCCTGAGCGTGCACGCACACATACATACATGCATATTCCCACGTGGGCGTGCAGACATGTATTATGTGTCTATATGTGTGTGGGTGTGTGTGTGTGTGCATACATGTATACATGCGTTCCCCCTGAGCGTGCACGCACACACACACACACACACATGCATATTCCCACGTGGGCGTGCAGACATGTATGTTGTGTCTATATGTGTGTGGGTGTGTGTGTGTGTGTGTATAGTGCATACTAGCTCCCTCTCTAGGTACGAGAGTACCGGTCGAAATAACTAGTTTTGGTGCAATTAGCATTTCTTAGCCAACATAATTGGCACAAAGAAAACATACCACAACTATAACTGATACTGCTCACAGTAGGTTGAAAGTGCACGTTTTTTTTTTCATAATAGATGGTAGGATCACTTGTGGATATTATAAGGTTTGGAGATGGGAGGAAGGGAGAAGAGATGACGAGAGCAGACTGAATGCTCGCAGAATTCAGGAAGACAGACAGACGGACAGACAGAGAGAGAGAGAGAGAGAGAGAGAGAGAGAGAGAGAGAGAGAGAGAGAGAGAGAGAGAGAGAGAGAGAGAGAGAGAGAAAGAGAGGCAGATAGATTCCGACTAAACTATTTTATAACTTGGGGTTGTTCTTATGTATGCCACTACCTACGCGTTAAACACAAGCTTCGGTGAAAAGGCCGGTCAAACTAAACGAAACTTCTGAATGCGAGCAAAGGTGGAACCATCATTATTTGTAGACATAACAGTTTAGACTAGGACAATCCTGGAACACACTGCTGCTGACAATGCTATGACAACGTCATGGTTTGCAATCAACTATGGCAGAGGGTTTACTCTCTGAATGACAAGTTTGTATGTGTTCGTTTAGTTTGAGGTAGGACCTAAAGATGACTGAGCAGCCTTTACACGCAATCGTTTCTCCAATCCCGTGCACATTGCGCATGTGAACTCGCAGGTTGTAGCGCCGCCCAAAGGTTTTCCCGCACTCGGAGCACGTCACTGTGGTGCCGCCTGCACAGAAATGCCTGTGCTTGAGCAAATGTGCCCGGGAGACGAACGTCTTGGCGCAGGTCCGACAGGCTACTGAAGAGTCCAGGCTATGTGACGACGCCAGACTTGGTCCCAGATAAAATGAACTCTGCAAGATTGCCTCCATGCCTGACTGTGCTTGGACCTGCAGCAAACTGGATCTTACCACCGCTTGCTCATCCCACCAGGCGCCTGTGGACAGTTGTGGAATGGAAATCACCATTTTTCATTATGGGGACACCGACAGCCAACCTTACAGGACTAACACATGTTTATGCATCAGAATAATACTACAAACCAGCCAGCAGGTGAACCCATATGCTCACTTGTATTCCCAAAAATAACTTTTAGATTTCAGAGTAGGAAAAACAGTGAAACTTGCATCTGTTTTGTGTCGAACAAAGAATTAGATTCAGATACGGCCTATAAACGAATAGAATATGTCAACAATGGCCTCTTGCGTTTCTAATAGTAATCCACAACCACCAAACATTTGCAAACTGATGTCTATGTTAATTAAGAAGACTGGTTGTGGTGAAAAGGGGTGGGAGGCTAGGGTGGGACATCTATATTTGCAGATAGACACACAGATTTTAGGTTGGTATTTAAAAAAAATACATGATTTAAACATACATGAGTGGTGATTTTCACAGCAGAACAATTGCATTAAAACACAGTGAGGCTGTCTTTTACCTCCCCCCCCCCCCCCAAATTACTTTATATAATATTTGTTCGACGTAATTTATACCTTCTTCTTCTATCATTTTTCCTAGGTTTTTTCCTAGGTTTGCACAATACTTCCAGAAAAACAAATGTAATAAAAGTTCAAACACCCAAGTCCATGCATTAATTTGACATTTTAACTCTGTGAAACAACACCAGGCATGCCTCGTTACTTTCGTAATAATGTAGAGCCACTCAAGTTCTAAGATGACATGAAGATAAAGTATAGGACACTTCTCGACGCCACTGATGCAGCAGCTTTGTGATGCTAGAGATATTTTTAAATCATCAATCTGGATCACTGGGTGTTAAAGTCAACATCACGCCAGGCCGCCTTTATTTCCCAGTACATAGCCTAGTATAAATCAAAAGTTAGGTCGGCCTGGTAGTTGAGATTCTGACAGAAAGAAAGAAAACCACCTTGAGGCAGATTCGATCTCAAAATTGTCTGGCAGGCAGATAAGCACCTAGCCATAAGCTACTGCTGTTTTCTAGATAGCATGTGCTGGATCCTTACTGCATATGTATTGATGGCTGTAGCTTTCTTCTAATAATGATGATATCATAAACGAACAGCTGCCAGGGCAACGTGTTAGTCCTGACCAGGTGAGAAATGAATTATTCTTCTTTGGTTATTTAAAACACCCTGTAGAGATGGATCAGCATTTCACAGCATACATTTGGCGACCACTGCACCACGCAGTTTTGGAAGGTTGTTGGGCACGCAAGTTACAAACATGATTCTTTCAAAATGTTAGAAACAAGGACACTGAAAATAAGTACTTGGCTCAAAGTCTCAGATTTCTTGTATCGAAATTCAACTTTTTAAACTAGAATCATCTGGCACATATTCTTCATATTCTGTCAAATAATGACTGCAAACGTACAACTGTGCTGCAGAGAACAACTGCATAAACATGAGGTATTTCAAATGATTGCAAGATACTAACAGGTTATTGTCGCTGTCACAAACAGATGTATGCATCAATTGTGAAAATGTTCAGAGGAATTCATGTCGACGCACACAGTAGCATCATAAGGGAACGAAATTCTGGACTCCACTCCACTATCCAACAGGGACTGGATAGGCATGGGAAGATCAATTTCCAACTGAGGCGGTCTGGCAACACAGATGGTTTGATGCTGATACATCTGAGGTCGGTATTTGAACTCCTTCCCACAAAACCTGCACTGAACTTTGTCTCCTATGCCGTGTATGCCCCGCATGTGTTCAGCCAGGGAGTCATACCTGCTCAGGATTTTCCGACATATTGGACAGGTTAAATGCCGCTTTCCTTTACACTCACGTTTATGAATTGTCATTGCTAACGTGTCCCTGGAAACAAACGTGCATTTCCTGCACTCCAGTGTGTATGGAGACAAATGCCTCCCTGAGAGTGTGGAGAACATTTTCTCGAAACTTTGGTAACTGTTGGGAGAATCTGCGTTGTGTGTGCTGCTTTCCAGTTGTTCCTCCTTTATATGGACACCAAGTAACGCTGAGATTGAAAGAAGAAATCCCTTGTTAGCACACAGTTCGAGAATATTACAAGCAACTGGGCAGGCAGGTTTTTTAAACGCTCATTCTTACAAATATCTACATCAGGGCTATTCAACTGGCGGCCTGCGGGCCAAATCTGGCCATATAGGCCTAGTAAGTGACCCGCGGATCACAGGCCAACTGTACTATATTAACAATCTATATATGCTAAGACTCTAGCCCCTGGTCCCCCACAATCCTAATTTTCCAACGTTTTGGAACCTGAGTAAACTTAGTTGAACGGCCCTGATTTACATTATGCATTTTACATAGCTTAGCCTGACACCTGAAAACTTTTTTTTTTTAAACTGCTTATAAAGATACAACAGTGAAGATGCGGACCAAGAATTCAAATGTAATCATTTAGTGTTTTTGCAACCCATATTCTGGTCAGGAAGGTAAAGGCAGATAAGGAACCACGTAGAGACTGGTACTTTAATTAAAGAAAAGAACAGTAAAGCATATTCAAATATTTGTGACAGGACAAAACATGCCTAAGTTTAAAGATACATTTGAATGTATGCATAGAAAAGTAATTCCTGTTAATAGTCATTAACTGAAATTGAAGAAGGATTGATGGCTAATTTCACGACTTCAGGGAATGTTATATCCAGTAAAGAACAATAATAATCTAGTACTAACAACAACGCAGGTCAATCTTTATAATATCACATAAGAATAGCAATCGTCAGATAATAATATAGCAAGAAAAATACGCAGAAAGTAACAACTCGAAGAGCAAATAATACTGAACTAAAACTGAACGAGTCGGTAAAATGTTAGGACACCAGTTGTGTGATCCAAGAAAACAAGAAGCAGGCCGGAAACAAATACACCCACATGATCCATACAGCTGTCAGGCGGACCTACAACCTCAGGGATTGATATAAATACTCACAAGCCTATTACAACCTTCAAACAACTCAGGGCCAGCAATTAAAACTTTCCTCAATGAGTTGCACGGTTCTTATTCAGAAAACAATATATTTAAATCTATAAATGAAAAGCCTCGAGATAGTTAGATTTGTACTAATCACAACAATAAAATATAGTATGTCGTCTGCAAAAGATGCGTTCCTTGCCAATACCAGAACACAGCTATGCAAAAATTTATGAGCATGTTAATATAACAGATCAAATTAGTCAGGGCCTTAGATATGCAGTACTTTCAGACATTTTAAATAATTTCAATAAACATTTTTAATTATTCTTTCAGACAATGCACCAAAACTGCAAATATGCACTCATTTGCAAATTTAATAAATACACCTAAAGTTATTTCAAAGAAAATATGTATCAATTTTTATTAACGTCCATTACTATCCTTATCTGGGGGCAATGAATGCAGTTTTAACATACAACTGAGTTGTGGAAGATAACAAACCATTCGGTGATTTCAAACGGAAAAGAGGAGGCATACATGCTGAATGGAAAAAAAAAAAGAAACATCACCTACATAAACATGTAAACAATCTATGTTTCTGACATACACACACTTGAGTTCCTCTCTGGTGCTACAGAGGTTCTGACATACACACACTTGAGTTCCTCTCTGGTGCTACAGAGGTTCTAACATACACACACTTGAGTTCCTCTCTGGTGCTACAGAGGTTCTGACATACACATACTTGAGTTCCTCTCTGGTGCTACAGAAGTTCTGACATACACACACTTGAGTTCCTCTCTGGTGCTACAGAAGTTCTGACATACACACACTTGAGATTGTCTCTGGTGCTACAGAGATAATGTACTGTGTCAGGTTTACCTTTTATGACCTATAGAAGGAGACTTAGCACTTAAGATAAATCCATGGGCAATAAAAATAAACTACAAACATAAACAATCATTGTTCGTTGCTATGAATGGTCAGGAGAGAAGTAAATGTCCCAACTAATATCATGTTCCCCATGTCCACCAAAACAAGTCCTTGGGTAAGCACATATACTACGTTCCCAGATTTTTAAAAATAACATGTTAACATATACAACACTTTCCAAAGGAACAAATGGAGCAATCTGCTCACAATTTTACCAACAAACCTTTTTTATATGGAAGGCTTACAATTGATCTAACAACAAAAAAACAAGCTAATTAATGTCAAATTCTATGCTGAATGAAAACTATACATCCTTAGAAGAAGAGAGCAACGGTAAATTTTCCGCACAGACACCAAAAACAAATTAAGCATCATTGGTTTAGTAGGTAAAGGACCTTTTTTTTTACGCCTGTGGCGCATTAGGTATGTTGTGCTTACTCATACTTTAAGATACCAATCATCACTCAGTGGGTGGGTGATCTGAGCAACACTGTGCTAGCTGCCTTTACTTCCCAGACAATACCTGGTGCATATTTTGAGCTGAAGTGAGCTGGGAGCCAAGATCAATTTTGAAGGGAAAAATCCCCCATCGATGCAGTTTTAAATCCAGGACCTTTCAGGGGGAGAGCATCTGCCCACTATACTACCAAGACTTTCTTTGTTGGTTTGCTAAACTATATTCTACAATACTTTTTGCTGATTTATGATAATGAATGACATGTTTAATCACAGAAACTAATAAAATCTCTAAAATACAGAACAGAACAGTATGAACCTCAAAGATTTTGCACAACTAAAGGAAACCAAAAATGTTGTTCCTATCAACAAAGGACAGGTAAATGTAAAGTACACATTATCTATCCAAAGGAAACACTTGACTGAGGCCCGGGCGATGAAGTTCGCTGGTCTGGCAACCAAAAGTTGCTGTCAAAATTCGGTAAAATCCCAATCAAGTGACTATCATGTTGAAATAATTGTTTCTCACCAGTGGCGCATCAGGCATGCATCTAGTGCCAGACCCATAGTTTATTACAGATCAATCAGCACTCGATGGGTTATGTGGTTATCAACTTACATATGTACACCCCCAACCCAAAAAATATTCAGAAACTGCATATCATATGACACACATAGAATGAGAATA